CTCTGTCAGAGTGCAGACGCAGGACAGGAAGATCCGTCCGGAAACGGCGGCGGAGCTGGAGACGAACTGTGCGGATCCAAGGGATCAGAACAGCAGGGACCTCACCCTTGGTGCGCAAGGGGAAGACCGTGGTGTAACGCGAGTAGTCGTCGACAACCAGCAAAAAATACCGCTCACCGCCCTGGCCACGAACGCGGGCTGGGCCCCACACGTCCAGGTGGAGGGTCTGCAGAGGAGCCTCTGTCGGGGGGAACGAGGAGGAGTGAGGAGCGGCGCGCTGCCGCCCCTCGACGCAAGGAAGGCAAGGCGGCGCAGGCGAGGCAGGGAGGGGAGGGAGGGACCTGGGAAGACCAGACACAAGGCAGCGACGGTGCATGCCACGGAGGCGTGGCAAGGAGGGGTGACCCAGGCGGTGGTGCCAGAGAAGAGTCTGGTGCGACAAGGAACGACACTCACAGGCGTGGGCCACCAGACCTGACGCGGACACCTGACCGACAGCAGCAACCTGAGGAGACGCAGTGGTCAGTGTGTAGAGACTCGACCCCGGCCGACGGGTAAACGTAGCCAGGTGACGGCCGGTCCTGGAGCACGTGCAGATCGCCACACGCTGTCCTCCAGGGGTAAAGGTGTCAACCCACTGATCCTGGATGACAGCGTTGCTCACCAGGTTCGTCGAGAACGAGGGGAGGTGGAAACCCGACAACGAGCCAGACGGAACCGCCGGACAAGGGAGCACAGTGGTGGACTGGGCAAGGACTGGGCCCCCAGAGGGGTCAGCCAAGGAGACTGGGACCGGTGCAGGAAGCGGTGTGAGCTCAGTACTGTCACGAAAGAAACAGCGGGAAGCACCTGAGTCAAGGGTGAAGGTGTGACAGGCCTCAGCCGGTGCGGTACCTGAGAGAGCAGTCTCTGTGGGTGCTGTACCTGAGAGAGCAGACTCGCAAGCAGCCGGGGCAGCACTGGAGGGAGCAAGTACAGGGGGCACCATACCAGAGAGAGCAGACTCACTAGTACCCAGGGCAGCGGGCTCTATACCTGGGTCAGGCGGCACACACAAGTAACAGTCTCCCTCGGCACTAACAGTCAATGCATACATGGCAGCAATAATAGCATCATAGTCAAGAGCAAAGATATCAACACCAGCCCTCATGAGCTCAGCCCAGCGGGGGCGCTCAACATCCTCGCCCATCTCCTCACGCCAAGCGTCGTCAAGGCGGGAGAAGCAGCGGTACGGGGTGTGGAACCTCCCACACGTCTGTCCCTTGCGGTCACCTGTGCGAATGACATAGGAACAGCGGCCACTGCCCCCCGACGTCCCACGCTGAGCAAGCCACTCACGAAGCTGTTGGGTCGTCTGGGGACGCTGCTGCTGCTGGGAGCTCTGGCCCGAGCCAGTGCCTCCACTCCGACCTCCGCCGCCACCACTACCACCGCTCCGACCGCCACCGCCACCACCGCCACCACCGCCACCGCCGCCACCGCCGCCGCCGCCACTACTGCCACTGCTTCCTCCGCCGCCCCCGCCTCCACCGCCGACCCCACTCCCACCAGCGCTCCCGCCACCGCTCCCTCCAGCACCGCCTCCCCCCCCACCTCCCCCACCTCCTCCCCCCCCAGCGCCACCCCCGCCACCCTTGCCCCCCTTGCCCTTGCCGGTGCGGCGCCTCCCACCAGGAGCAGAAGCAGCGCCAGCAGACTCAGCACCAAGGAAGTCAACAGCAGCAGCAGTAGCGTAGGAGGGAGCGAGGGGAGAGGGAGAACACCCCTCAAAGATGGGGGTGCGAGGAGCGCCACGAGCAGCACCGACAGCTACAATGCTCTTTTCGGCCGCTAGCAGCTGCTCCTCTAGGAGGGCGACTGTGAGCTCAGTGGGACAGCGAGCAAGGAAGTGGTCTCGAACTGAGCTGAGGGTGTCAGGGAGACGGGTGACTATGAAGTGAAGTGTCGAGTACAGTGGAGGGGGATTCTTAGCGCAGAACTCGGTGGGAAGGGCGGCACGCAGGCGAGCATCACTAGTGCGAAGGTGAGTGATAAGATCGGCGACTGTAGCAAAGGTGGACAGCTCAGGGAACAGGTACGGCAGCATGAGGCGGCTAAGCTCGGCTGTGGCAGGCGAGGAGTAGCGAGCAACGACAGCATCGTACAGGGCCTTAGCGGATTTGCAGTCGCCAAAATGCTCGAGCTCAGCTAGCGGCAGGTGACTGCGAATGGCTAGGCGAGCAGCTGCGTCACGAGTCTGCCAGTGGGAACGAACACTAAGCTCAGCTGTGGCAGGAGGGGCAGGTGCAGCACCAGACGCGTAATCATAGAGCGACACATGCTCCTTGCTATCGCTCAGAAGGAACAGCTGCAGGTCATCCAGCCAAGTGGCGAACTTCACAGGGCGGCCCTCAGCATCGAACGACAGCACGCGGATGGAAGCCATAGCGACAGTGCGACTGAGCAAAGGAAGCTGCCGCAGCGCTGCAGGTAGGTAGCTCGGCGGGAAGCGCGGCGGGCGGGCGACGCGGCGAGCGGGCAGTGCGGGGGGCGGGCTGCGAAGCGGGCAGCGCGGTGCTGCAGGCGGGAAGTGCGGCGGGCGGGCTGCGAAGCGGGCAGCGGGGCGGGCGGGCGACGCGGCGAGCGGGCAGCGCGGCGGGCGGGCTGCGAAGCGGGCAGCGGGCGGGCGGGCGACGCTGCAAGCGGGCAGCGGGCGGGCGGGCGACGCTGCAAGCGGGCAGCGAGGCGGGCGGGCGACGCTGCAAGCGGGCAGCGCGGCGGGCGGGCTGCGAAGCGGGCAGCGGGCGGGCGGGCGACGCTGCAAGCGGGCAGCGAGGCGGGCGGGCGACGCTGCGAGCGGGCAGCGCGGCGGGCGGGCGACGCTGCGAAGCGGGCAGCGGGCGGGCGGGCGACGCTGCAAGCGGGCAGCGGGCGGGCGGGCGACGCTGCGAGCGGGCAGCGCGGCGGGCGGGCTGCGAAACGGGCAGCGCGGTAGGCGGGCGACGCTGCGAGCGGGCGGCTCGGCGGGCGGGCGACGCTGCGAGGGGCGCGCGAGGGCGCTAACGAGAGGCGCACGAGGGCGCTAACAAGGGGGCGCGAGGGCGCTAGCGAGGGCGCGCGAGGGCGCTAACGAGAGGCGCGCGAGGGCGCTAACGAGGGCGCGCGAGGGCGCTAACGAGGGCGCTAACGAGGGCGCACGAGGGCGCTACGAGGCTAGGGCACGGGGTAGCGTGGTAACCGCATGCGAGCGGTGGTGGGCCCTTAAAAAAAAAACGGTCGGTAGGTCCTAGGGACCTCCTGCTCTGAATACCATGTTAACAGAACTAGGCAAGAATGAGGGCATTGAAAGAAACAGTTGGGTACAAGTAGCTAACCCTAGTTGGGTTTGTACCCTGTATTGGCTACCCCACTACAGCCTACCTACATATAAATAACACATTACAACTTAACACATACCATGCTCTCTCTTACAATACCAGGCAGAGCATTTCAGACACCTGTACATTACCAGCAGTTGCATGTACAAGTGAAAGCAGCTCAGCAATTGTTCGGACCCTAATGCAGCAGCCCAGCCATTAGTGCCCCCCAATCATTTGCAAGGCCCATTCCATGTGTACGTCCCACAGGAGTGCGCAGTCAGTACCTTCCAAAATTGGGATGAATCATGAAATGAAAGTCTACCCTACCATATCTATGGAGGACGCCATTTTACGCACCGAAAGAAAAAATATGTCAGCATCACGAGGGCACTATCACTCTGTTAGACGGTACGGCAAATCTAAAGAACCAGGCCTCGATTACACCATTTGTTGCTTACTGTATTATTTTTGTACATACGGGGTGTAGCTATCTGATCTGACAGTACCAAAACGTGATTGCTCATGAGAGCAATGTGTTTAACCTATCAAGCAACAACTCGTTCCAACTGTCAGGAACGCCAGGCAGGCAGAAATTCATGCAGTCCTGTTTCAAGCCATCGATAACCTGATCATGCCATTTGCTGACATGTGCATCCGCCCGGGCAGATGAAATCTGCCCAATTGGCAAAATTTGCACTCTGCTGCTGCGGCTAGTGCTGCCACCACTAGCCAGTTCGGAGTCAATAACCTTTGCTCTCTCCTTGTCCCTATGAGGCTTCTCTAGAGGCACTGTCACACTGTCACAGGTACCCTTGCCAGACCACTTGGCCTTCCATATGTTCTTATAACGAGGGACTGCAGGGTCCTTGCTGGAGGCGAAATGGTGACCAGGAGTGCTGAGGAAGAACACTGGGACGTTCTTAAATCGAGGGGTGCTGCTAGCCCAGGCATTGAAAGTCCTAAGAGCAGTGCGGAAGGCTGACAGAGAGTCTGAGGTTGCAGCGGCTTCATTGGGATCATCTGCAGTAGAGGTGCCAGTGAGAAAGACAACAGGCTGCTCCTTGCTGCTGCGATTGCTGCTACTGCCGCTGCCACTGCTGCTGCTGCTGCTGCTGTGGTCACTGCTGTTGCCATGGGGAATCGCCGTTGCTAGAAGGGGCAAAAAAGCATTGTGGGAGAAGGCCGCTGCAGCGTGCAGCACAAGGAGGCCTGCGTGTTGCTCTGCAAAGGTGTGCCAGGGCCCCAGCTGCTTCAGGAATACACGCACCGTTGATCCCTCCCCACTGCTGCTGCTGCTGCTGGCAGTGGTGCTGCTGGTGGTGCTGCTAGTGGTGCTGCTGACGATGCTGGTTACCAGGTAGTCCGAAGGGAAGAACACAAAGGTTACGTTTCCGCTGGCTGATCGCCACACCTCTGCGCCCGCTGACTCCATTGCCTCCTTCTCTGCGCTCGTTGCACGCCTGGCAGCGGTCTTTGCTTTCGGCAAGACTCGGTAGAGGGACGAGGAGGGTGAGACAGGTGGCGTGGAGGAGGAGGGAGGAGAGGCGTGGGCCCACACGAGGCAGAGGAGAGAGAGAAACATCTGCAGTGGGTGGGAAAGGAGGGGAGGCAGGAAGGGCAGTGATCCATGAGGCACGCTGAAGGTATTTGTGAGCCTCATTGTCAGCCCACCTACACGAGGCAGGGCAGAGATTGGAATACATGCAGTGAATGGGCCATCCCCCCATCCTCATCCCCTCCCCCAGCCCCTCCCCCATTCCTACCTGCTTTGCCACAGCATCGCCTGCAAAAACAACATGCTTGTCCCGGAAGCTGCTGAGAAGCTTCCCCGCATCGAAGCGGGGCAGCAGGCACCCAGCAGGCTGCCAGCGGTACTGGGCCAGGTCGAAGGAGGGCCGTCCAGTGCAGGCAAACCGGGACTCGATATAAGGACACGTGGAGGCGTATAACGGGTACGTGCTGTCCTTGTTCCACGTGCCCTGCTCCACCGCACACCTGTCCTTCTCAGCACCCCTCCTCGGCTTCCCACCTTCTGCTGCTGATGATGATCCTGATAGTGCTGCCGTTGCCTCCCCTCCTCCTTTCCCTTCCCCTTTTATTTCCCTTTTTCCGTCCTCTGTTCCTTCCCCTTTCCGTCCGCCTTCCCCTTCTGTGTCCCTTGCCCCCGACTCCGGCCTTCCCCCTTCCGCCACGCTTTCCACCTTCTCCGCTCTCCCCCCTTCTCCGTCCTGAGCCTCTTCCCCGGCCTCTGACCCCATCCGCGCTTCCCCCGCTGTCCCCACCTCTTTCCCTGCCCAACCTTTCGCTCCCGATCCTGCTTGTTCGGGCTCCTCTTTACCGGATTCCTCTTCCCGAGTTGACTTTTGATCCGACTCAGAAGCCAATTCCGATCCTGCGGTTTCGGGATTTTCTTTAACGGATTCCTCCTCCGGTCTTTCTTCCTCCTCGGTTTTCCCCATCTTGTCGTCTTGTGAAATACTGTCGCTTTTCGCGTCATCCTCCGCTACTAGCGGCGCGATTTGCGGAGCGTCGGGGTCGTAGCCGTATCTGGCGGTGAGATTCGCGCTGTGATGCGCGACGGATGAGACGTAGCCGACGACGATCAGCGCGAAGAGCGTGGCGAAAAGCAGGTAACGTCGCAGATGGAACCGGAATCCTTCGTAGCCCAGGAAGCGAGAGAGGAATTCCTCGATCTCGCCGGGGAGATTCATGATGGAATTTTGCGGGAAGCAGAAAAAAGATGACGGCGTACTGGGCGAGGGCCTAGGGAATGTCGGAGCCTGAATAATCGGTAGTTGGCATGTGGGGCTTCGTCACTGGTGTTGAAATGCAGGAAAATGACTGAAGATGCTCGTTAAAAAAGGCACCGTAAAAAACATAAGTTATTGATTTACACCAGCTCCAGCCCCAGATAAAAATTTGTATTCGAGCTCAATAAATCTCTGCGTCGGAGCGCGACATTTATCTTCTCGTGGGGGGGCTCCTCTCGAACCTTTCCACGCGGCACCCGTGGTGGCCCAGCTGTCACTCTGGATGCCGCCACGTCGTTCCCCCCTCCCACCAATCGCAAGAGACGACGCAATCCAGCTGCGCCTTGGGAACTCCATTGCAATCCGCATGGATCAGCTGTGTCTCCAAGCGAAAGCAGCAACACTTTCCTCCTGATCAACAGACAAGCATCAAAGCGTGCAAACTAGTATTCAAGCCTTTTCTAGGACTACCCTGGAGCTTTGAATTTGTCTGCTTGTCGCTGCGACCACGCTAGTTCGTACGATAATATACGTTCTTCCCTTTTCTATCTTGATTAATAGCCTCGTTGTACTCGCATAGGCTGAACGTAGCCAACATGGCCGCAGCGTCGCACTCGCTAGCGCTCCTTCAGAGCTCCTCACATCCCTTAAAATTAGCTCCTAGCAATGCCGCTACAAGCGGCAGCAGAAGCCTCACAGGTAACCAGTGCCAGTCGCTGGTCTCGCGACCGTTGATTCCCGCAATCCGCCAGCCAGACGCATTCGATTCCAGGCGAATTCGTGGTCCGATTACGGTGCAGGCCGGACTAGATAAGCTCGGGTTCCTGGGTCGACTAGGCCGGGTGATTAAAGAGAAGGCGCAGAGCGATTTTGACCGCGTGTTCAAGGGTGTGACTAAAACGAGGGAGAGCCTGAAGGTTGTGGACGAGCTTCTAACGTACTGGAATTTAAACGAGGCTGACAATATCCTGGAAGAGCTGGAGGAGGTAAGTCGTCGAGTTCACCTGCCTAGACATTTTGTACCTGGAATATCTAAGTGTGCTTTATAGTTATAGTGATAAGAGAGAATGAGGGTATGGGAAACAGAGAGAGAAAAATAATTTGACTGGCCTTCTTTGGCGTCAAAGGAAACTAAATTAGAAACCTTACCGGAAAGAATGAATATATTTTCGCCCCTCCCGCCTCTCCCCCTTCCTTCATTTTGCGTTCCGTCTTATTTCTGAAGGCCCTCATCGTGGCGGATTTCGGGCCGCGCACTGCGATTCGCATAGTGGACGGCATCCGAGAGGAGATTAAAGCGGGGCAGCTGAAGACCGGCAAGGAGATTAAGGTGAGCTGAGTCTTTGTGGTGACATTGAACAGTGGATTCTGATAGAATTGGGACTCGGTGGTGATAGTGAGCAACGGATCCAACTTCTGAGGATTCCCAGAAGTGACGCCAATGTTGGTGGTGATACAGATATCGAATAACGGATTTGACTAGAAGTTTGAACCTGGGGTGGCAATGGAGGGAGAAAGGGGAGTCAATTGACGGGGTAATGACGTGACGGAAAAAAGGATGAATTGGATTGCGCCCAATATTCTCCTTCTTTCCTCTCCCCCTCTCCTCCTGCCGCCCTCGCCCTGTTCTTTTCGGTCCTGCGTGGCAGGAAGCACCGAAGCGGGCCAATGCGTTCACACACTCAATCCCCTTCTCCCCCTCCCCCGCTCCGCCCTCCCGTTTGTGTTCCGCGTGTCCAGGAAGCGCTGAAGCGCGCCATTGTGAAGCTTCTCACGGACAAGGCGCCCGTCACTGCGCTGGAGCTGGGCACCAGGTGAGAGCGATGTGAGGGGGGAGGGGGGAAGGGGGAAGTGGGGAAGCGTGGAAGGGGGAAAGGGGGGAAGGGGGAGAGGGGTGGAGGAAGGGGGGGAGTGGGGGAACGGGGAGGGAGGGGGCGCGGGAGATGGGGCGGAGGGTGAGCCGGGGATTGGAACTGCTACTTTCGGACAAGGCGCGTGTGACTGCACTGCAGCTGTTCACCAGCTTAGTTCCTTAAGAACCCTCCCTATACACCTGGATTCACGTTCAATATTTTTTCTAGCCGCCCCGCCCTGTCCCCTATCGTCCCTCCCTCCCGGCAACCCCCTCCCCCTCCTGCCATGCCTACAGCAAGCCGGCAGTGGTGATGATTGTGGGCGTCAATGGCGGCGGCAAGACCACCACCATTGGTCAGCCTCCCTCCCTCCCTCCCTCCCTCCCTCCCTCCCTCCCTCCCTCCCTCTTGCTCTCCCTCCCTCCCTCCCTCTCGCTCTCCCTCCCTCCCTACCTCTCGCTCTCCCTCCCTCCCTCCCTCTCGCTCTCCCTCCCTCCCTCGCTCCCTCTTTCCTCCGTTCTTGCCATTTGCGTCTATCATGTCTCTGTGGTTTCTTGAACGTCTCAGCCCTCTCAACATGTAATTTTCTTAGGAGCATCTCTACCCATTTCCCATTCCCCGTCCCTCATCCCAATCCCCCACCCCCCAGCCCCGATCTCCCATCCCCCATCCCCCATTTCTCTTTCCAATTGCCGTGTCCTCTCTCCCATGCTCTCCTTTTTCTTCGCTCTCTTTCCTGTCCACCAGGCAAGCTGTCTCACCGATTCAACAACGAGGGAGCCAAGGTAATGCATTCCGGGGGATCTAAGTAACATGTGTACGCATAGGTGTTAAAACAACGCAAAGGGTATGTGCTTTGCAATAAGACGCCTATGAGTTGCAACGTGGTGGGTGGTAACAGGGTAACGCTACCCTTCTCTTCCAACCCCTGCTCTCTTCTCCCCCTCAGGTGCTGCTGGCAGCGGGAGACACGTTCAGGGCGGCAGCGAGTGAGCAGCTGGAGGTGTGGGCGGAGAGGACAGGCGCATCGTTCCTCAGGGGGGAGGGGGAGAAGACCAGACCCGCCACGGGTGAGAGCCAGTGCACACACACTTGAGAGCAAATGCATGGTAAATGGAAACATGCAAGGAGAATGGCCATAATTAGGCCCACCCACCCACGTGCTCGCCTATATGCCCCCCCACACTCACACGCTCACCCATATGCCCCCCCACGCACATGCATTCATGTCCCAACCCATGTGCCCACAAACACCCATGCATCCCATGTATTCCCCCGCGCCTCCCCCCCCGCAGTGCTGGCGAATGCAGTGCGCAAGGCAAGTGCTGAGGGCTTTGACATTCTCCTTGCCGACACCTCTGGCCGTGAGTCGTGGGAAAAGGGGGCGGGATGGGGGGGGGACAGGAGGGGCTGGGACAGGGTAAGAGGGTCTGGGAGGGGGTTGCGGTGCGCAAGGCAAGCGCTGAGGGCTTTGACATTCTCCTTGCCAACACCTCTGGCCCTGAGTCATGCTACAGGGGGGCCGGGGGAAGGAACAGGAGGGGCTGGGACAAGGTACGAGGGTCTGGGAGGCGGTTGAGACACGCAAGGCAAGTGCTGAGGGCTTTGACATTCTCCTTGCCAACACCTCTGGCCGTGAGTCGTGGGAAAAGGCAGAGGGGAAGGCACATGGGGGCGGATACATGGGGGCGGTTGGGGGTGTCTTGGGTGGCTGAGGCATGGCACAGGGTCGGCAAGGCATGGGAGGCAAGCAGCGAGGCTTTTTATGTCCTCCTTGCTGACAGTACCCCCAATCCCACTGCATCGCACTGACTTTGAGTCGACTCAAAAGTCAGCTCCTTGCTGACAGTACCCCCAATCCCACTGCATCGCACTGACTTTGAGTCGACTCAAAAGTCAGCTCCTTGCTGACAGTACCCCCAATCCCACTGCATCGCACTGACTTTGAGTCGACTCAAAAGTCAGCTCCTTGCTGACAGTACCCCCAATCCCACTGCATCGCACTGACTTTGAGTCGACTCAAAAGTCAGCTCCTTGCTGACAGTACCCCCAATCCCACTGCATCGCACTGACTATGAGTCGACTCAAAAGTCAGCTCCTTGCTGACAGTACCCCCAATCCCACTGCATCGCACTGACTTTGAGTCGACTCAAAAGTCAGCTCCTTGCTGACAGTACCCCCAATCCCACTGCATCGCACTGACTTTGAGTCGACTCAAAAGTCAGCTCCTTGCTGACAGTACCCCCAATCCCACTGCATCGCACTGACTTTGAGTCGACTCAAAAGTCAGCTCCTTGCTGACAGTACCCCCAATCCCACTGCATCGCACTGACTTTGAGTCGACTCAAAAGTCAGCTCCTTGCTGACAGTACCCCCAATCCCACTGCATCGCACCGCAGCACTGCACACCAAGTTTAACGTCGTGGAGAAGCTGAAAGTGTGCTCATGTGAAGCCAAGCTTCTCTCCCCACTCCCCTCCACCCCCCACCACCGCCCACCACCACTCCGCACCGCAGGGCTGCACACCAACTTCAACCTCATGGAGGAGTTGAAAGCGTGCTCATCTCAAGCTTCTCTATCCTTTTCCCCTTCCTCACCACCGCGCACCATCCCCCACCGCATTGCACCGCAGGGCTGCACACCAATTTCAACCTGATGGAAGAGCTCAAGGCGTGCAAGCGAGCCGTGGCCAAGACCCTGCCGGGTGCTCCCAATGTGAGTCACCCTGTTCCCGGTTGGCTCCTGCCCATCTGTTCCGCACTTGGATTTGCTCTGATTTCTTAGGCGCCTAAAAAATCAGCTCAAGGCGTGCAAGCGAGCCATGGCCAAGACCCTGCCGGGTGCTCCCAATGTGAGTCACCCTGTTCCCGGTTGGCTCCTGCCCATCTGCTCCGCACTTGGATTTGCTCTGATTTCTTAGGCGCCTAAAAAATCAGCTCAAGGCGTGCAAGCGAGCCATGGCCAAGACCCTGCCGGGTGCTCCCAATGTGAGTCACCCTGTTCCCGGTTGGCTCCTGCCCATCTGCTCCGCACTTGGATTTGCTCTGATTTCTTAGGCGCCTAAAAAATCAGCTCAAGGCGTGCAAGCGAGCCATGGCCAAGACCCTG